ATGTAGCCACAAGCTTTCTTTACACGTACATGAAGGTCGTGAACGAAATTAAAAGTAATGAATGATTTAACTGAAAATTAAGTTACTTAAATGTAATGAACGTGTACATTAAATTTATGAAATTCGATGTACTTTTAATCAAATTTTATGAAAAGTACATTAAATTTCATAAATTTTCGTGAAAAATACATTAAATTTTATGTACATGAACACAAATATACTTTTTAATTATAAACACATTAAATTTAATGTAATTAAGTTTAATTTGTGTAACTTAAAAGTTAATAAAATTTAAGAACATTCCTAACAGTGTAATATTTAATTATAAGTTTTAATTGTGACCAGATAAGGCACTTACAGGCATCTCCTCTCGAAAAATATAATGTATTTTTAATTTTTTCATACTATTATTTTCACCATTCGATATCATAAATAATTTAACCCTTTAACTACGTCGTTTTAGATAATCAAGCACATCATGTGAATTAATTAACTCTATATAAATTGAGATAACGTACAAATGACTACGAAGTAATAATAGGAAGTCTTAGTCGGCCATTTATTACGAAATTCCCGCTCCTAGCTGAACATACAGTACAACGTTGGCAGTTAAAGGATTAAGCTCGCTCAAGGCGTGATCCCATTGGGTCAGCACAACACGAGCCACGTTATGAATCCGTTGGCGAAGATCATCTCGATAAACCGGGCATGAAGTGCCGGGCATAATCGTGGTCCGGAACAGAAAGGAGCGAAGAAATCGGCGAACAAGTCAAGAACAGGCAGAAGCGAGCGAGAGCGAGAGAGAAAGAGAGAGAGAGAGAGAGAGAGAGAGAGAGAGAGAGGCAGAAATGCGAGAAGCGGTGTAGGAGGAAGAAAAAGAGAGAAGGTACAGGACAAGGAGGGAGATAAGGTAGGTAGAGAGTCCAAGAAGGGCGAAGAGAAGACTAAAAGAGGGGCCCCTCCCGGTAGCTCGATCGGCGAGGTGGGTCGGGGCCCCCTTGCACGATCCTGGCTGTCAGCACGGGTGGGTAAATGGGTATATAAGCGGGGCCCCGGCGATTCCATCTCGACACACGACCCAACCTTCATCCCGATCACCAACGGTCCTTTGCAAACGAGCGTAATCGCACGCGCGTGAGAAAAAAAAAGAGAGGGAAGACAAGAGAAGGAGAGACAGAGACAAGAACCTCCCCCGCGTTCTTTCTTTCGTTCTCCGATCGACCGCGAAGTTCGCGCGAACCGGTGAGAGCCGATCCGCGAGACAAGGAGCAAGACAAGCCGAGAAGAGATCGTCTCGCTGTGCCCGACGTCGATTCGACTGGCAAGAGTTCCACGTTCCACGGAGGAGAGAAAAATACGTGAGTACACAGTTCCATTTCTTTCTTTCGCAGAATTCTACTACACCTCGACCGAAGAAACCCGCGCGTCTCCGCGGCGAAGAGACGATCTTTCGATCAGGAACCCCCAATGAGCCTGTTGACCATCACGGATTACATGACTCGATATTTTAATCGATCGATCAAAGGGTTCCTTCGTCGAACGATCTTTGGATACTAGCATCGCGCGAATCCGCGAGTAACCCTCTTCGATATAATCGATCACGTAAACGTTAAGTGGAACTCTTTTTCACTCCTGACACGTCATCGATTTATTAATTTTTTAAACCCTACATGAAGCCGTCTATCTGCACAGTTTAGCTCAAAAACGAGGTACATTATAGATTCCGGTGAGCACCGATAATCGAGACCATTCGATAAAATCTCAAGTCGCAGTGACATGTGCGGTCGACAGACGCGGTTGGTTGGACTTGGCACGATTATTAGCCTCATGTTTGTGCACGGGGGATTTTTCTCGCAGCTATAAGTATTTCTTTCGCAACACGCGTAGGACTCGGTGCCGACGACGGCGACGCGGCGACAGGGATAGTTTTGAAAGTGGAGCGCGCGCGATAATGCTATTGTTCGCCATCCGCGCTTGTATCCGTCCGTTCAATTAGTCGGGGCGCGGCAAATGCGGATTTTCGAAATAGCGAACGACGCTTCGACAAATGCCCTTCTCTTCGCTGCAAAAATGTATTGCGATCCATTCCATTAAACCGTCCTCTTGAACTACACACTAAAAAACGTGGATGTGATTTTGACATGAATTTGATCATGATGTAAAAAGGTCTTCTTACATCATAAATTTAACATTATCGATGTCAATGCTGATCTGTTCAAATTTATTATACTTACATGTCGTTTAGGTCCATTTGATTAAAAAATTCTAAAAAATACAAAATTTTCACAGAAAAAAGATCTTACGTTAACAAAGTTATCAAATATATATATATATATATATATAATCTAGAAAAAAAAGTTTTTAAATAAAACTCAAGAAAATAAATTACACATTGCATCAAATAAACCTGAACAGAATAGCAGGATTAAATCCATACCATTAGTCATCAAAATTTATATTATGTTTCTTACGATAACTATTAATTTCCAATACATTCGAACATATCTAATGTTATAACACGAAATATCTTATCTAGTTTATATCAATTCTCTCTTGCAACATTCATACACATTGCACGTAGAATACCTTTTTATTTCAAATTACCGGCAAACAAGGTAGAAAGGCATTGCGATTGCACAGTAACGACTAAATTTATTATCAAAAACTCGAAATTTCATTACAAGTATTCCAATTCTCGTTGGATGTGCGTCGCGGCTGAAGGGTTAATAAAGAGAAATTAAGAGGTCAAAGCGAGGAAACGCACGTCGCTCGCGTGCCACGCTCCGTCGTCGTTATACACATAATTTGTAGATTTCTCAAGGAGCACGTTTGCGTAATTTCGCGTTCCTTCCCGCCCCGTAATTAGCCGGCTTAATCTGTCAATCTGCGAATTACCTGCGCCGCGACGACGTTGACTCGAGGTCGCCAACCGGCAACCATCTTCCCCGGCACATCTCGCAATCGATGGAACGTCAAACGTGCACTGAATCTCTGTTTAGAATCAACTCCGCGAAACCCCGAAAATCTTCCTCGCATCACGACGAAGCAGATTCACGTGAGCTTGAATCTAAGAGGAACAAAATTCGTGAACTTTTGCGCTTATATGAGTAAGGATCTTATACGACTACGAATTAAACGGGAGTTTCGCGGCTTCAAATTAGACGAGCGGACGCCGCTCTTTCAACACGTCGCAATCAGAAAAGGCTACGAGAGCTGAAAGGCTAAGAGAAAGAGAGAAAGAGAGAAAGAGAAAGAGAGAGAGAGAGAAGAGTAGAAGGCTACAATCATTGACGTTGAAGCGCGCGACACTTCTTTGTAAGTGTAGTACCATTATTACACCTCTGATGATCTTGATGAGGTAATCGGCGTCCATCATCTTTCACAGGCATTTCCTGCGTCTATCGACCTGGCCGCCGAGCACTTATCTGTATTCGCGGTGCGAATTCAACGCGCGTCATCCTCATCGTGATTTCCTTCTGCTTTTTCTCTCTCTTCATCATTTCCTCCCTTCGAAGATTGTATGGAGAGTGGAAGATTCATAGAATAGAAAGAATAGAGAGAAGGAGAATAAAGAAAAGAAGTAATGTAGGCAATATAGGCATAGAATAGAGAGGAGGCAATGCCTCCGACTATCTATATTATGTCTATCTATATTATGAGAAGATTACATCGACAGACATGATAAACACGCGTCTGTCGTTCGTCCTCGCGTAACCTGTAGTGTAGGAAATAATTAACAGACACGTCTGTGTGATGCGCGAACAATAAGTCAACGGCAATGGTACTTGAATTGCCTCGCAATTAAGTTTATTGCGACTACGTGCCGCCGTCGTACATCCGGTGTAATTACATCCGCAGTGAACTTAATTAATTCCACGCTAATATTTGGAGACTTAAGGGCTACGCATAATGAAAGAAGGAATTAGGAACAGGAATAAATGTTAAGACTTCTTCAAATCAGAGAAACCCCTATCAGAAATTAGTTACATCGAAATACACGGTTTATGGTTGAAATCTTAATATTTATATCTATTCCTAATATTCCTCCATTGTGTGCAGGGTCTTATACTTCAGCTGCTCGCATCGAGAATCTCGCAAATTACAATGTAGGCCTATATTTTTTTAGCTATTTGTAGAATTTGTCTTTCCACGTGGAGAGAAAAAGAGAAAAGATAAACTGTCAGCAAGTTTAGCTAATGCTCGTTTTTATCAATGTAGATTGACTTTAATTTCGGTTTAACTTATCTTTTATGTTTTTCTAATTATAAGAACTAGAAAAAGATGAAAAGTAAAGAGTAAATAAAAAAAAATCGAGATTACAGTTAATTCACATTGATAGAAATAGATATAAAATGAACAGGCCTATCTATTTTATCTATCAAAACAAGCAAGCAACTACGGTTACGGTAATTAGTATAATTACCATGGAGATCAAAATCAGTTTATGCAATTGCAGATAAAAAGAAGTCCCAGTTTGCAATATGGACAGTTCCCACTTTCACGCGAAAGCGTATTGCGATTCTTGGGCAAAAGCGAGAGGGGAGAGCAGTTTCGATTTCTGTCGCTTTCTGTCGTGACGCCAAAGCAATTTCGGCGATACCGCCGATATGATATTACAGCAAAAAGACGGTCGGCTTCAGCAAGAACGTAATAGCTGCACCGGCCGCAATTGCATTGCCAAACGTGAAAACCCCCCTCTCGATCTTATCGTCAAAACTGGATCCTTTTGCCACCTCCCGCCCCGTTCGCTGTTCGCCGTAACTACGCCTCGTTGTTCCCGTCTTTGTCGCCACTTCTCGCCATCCCTCTCGACTCTCAGTGTATTCCGGTTTGCCACAACCGGACGGTTTCCACCGTCCGGAGGCATACGACGAGCGCAGCCCCCGCTCTCGAGCAATTTGAATCGTTATGCCGTACGCGACTCGAGAATAATATATGCCTCATAACTTTTCCAGTTATAGCTAATTAATGCAGAATTATTATACTTCTATGTGACTTATGAATTTTTAATTCGCATATCATCAAAAAGTTGTTCTAGGAATACACGGAAAGAACGGCTTTGCTGAAGTATCTAAAAATTTAATTAGATACAAATACTGAACTGAAAATAATATTTTGATGAGAACCATTAAAATAATTATATAGAACGCTTAAACGTTGATAGCAATGCTGCAAAAAAGTTCAACATTCTTCAACCAGTTTAAGTATCCTTATACATAAGTACTTTGATGATCCAAACAAAACTATTTTCAGATTTGTATCTAGCTGAATTTTCAGATGTTTCAGTAAAACCATTTTTTCCATATTGTTTCATGATTTTTGATCAGTACTAGGACTCATAATTGGATGCAAAATTAAAAATTAAGTGTGATCTGCAATTTAATAATATTTTGATCGTCGAATTCATTGATGAATTGATTAATCGACGATAGCTACGCAAAAAGACAGATTGGAAAAGCGATTGCTTCTGTCAGAGTGACTACGCTTAACTCGAGCTTAATGCATGCCGATCTAGGCGCACCAACTTGATGATGCGTAAATACCGCGTCGTTTGTCTCCTATTTCATGTACACCTACTCGCGAACGCAGAATAGTCTAGTGTCGCGCGATGTATTTTGCAACGTAAATGTACACAAAGTAGAGTTTGCGATATAAATTTATTATCCATACGCTTCGCAGAAAACACAAAACGAACATTATCAACCTAATGTCCGTTTTTGTCAATATAAATTAACTTTAATTTTAGTCCAATTCTTGCTCATTTTCTTTTAGCTCTAAAAAAAATAAAATAAAGAGTAAGGTAAACTGAAATTATCTTATATTGATGGAAACGGACATAAATCCGTCATTGGAAACAATATATTGTATACATTACAAACGCAAATCTATACTTTCTAAATTTTTTTAAGTGCCTTGAAAAATAGTGGCTCAATTTTCAATCTTTAAGAGCAAGATTTTACTCTTCAGAATGATAAAAATTCATTCTAAAAATTTTAGAAAATAGTATTCGTTAAAGTAAGATCTGCTAAAAATTATAAGGGTTAATGATAAGACTTATTATTTTCAAATGTTCGCGCGCTTAACTCAAAAATTCACGATTTCCACACATTTTATGCAAATCTTCCTTTGAGGTATGAGAGATCCATGTCCTTAACGTCTCATTCACCTCGTGTACAACAAAAGTCCGTGCAAGACGTTACAACCATTTTTTCTCGTTTTTTTCTGCATTTTACGGAGAGAAAAATTGAACGTGCGGAGAAGCCGTAAACGCAAGCACATAACAAGCGTGAGGGGCACGCATCCTGTCATTAGTTCCATAATGTTCGCCTTATTCGATGCATTCGGTTCAATGTCACCCGTCCCTCTCCTTCCTGCCGATTCTCTCTCGCGACAGTCCCGATAGTAGTGTTCACCGGCATCCAGCGCGACGTTACCGTTCCTCCCCTCGAGGCCCTCCACAGCTCTCCTCCTCTCATTAACAATCATAGCTGTTGTCCTTTCGTCTCGCGATCTACAACCGGGCCCATTCATACATTCGTCTCGGCCATTCAGGCCGAGCTGTCACGCTGACAGCCTGTCCTCACGTCCGTTTGCCTAACTAGAAGATTGCGCGTCTCAATGTCTTCTCAGTGTGGATCCAAACGAATTTCGTTAGAGATAGAAAGATAAAAAATAATTGTAACACTCATCATAATTTTTAATCTTAATTGTAACACACATATTATATATGTAAGTCGCCTATAACCAACAATAATTTTTATAAATTTTATTATGAATGTATATAAAAACATATTTATTTTACGATGTCATTGTCATGCAATGATCGTTTTTCATCATTTACGGATAACGTAATAAATATTAACATGAAAATACGTACAACTAATTATAAAATTAATTAAGAAAGTAAAACCTTAAGATGACTCCTGCAATCACAAAAGACTTATTGCGCGATGTTTATATTCAAAGATATTTAAAGCCATCGATTAAATACTTTTTCTGCAATTCTTAACGATATAATGTAAATTAACAGAATTAAGTTAAGATTTTATCAATGCTACGATGTAATGTTTTAGCAACAAGAATATCTAATATCGAACATCCTTTTACAGATATCACAATGATAAAATTCACTGTGGTAACGATGGTATGCCTCTTGGGGCTGAAAATGATCGCTGCCATGCCAGTGGCCGATCATCAAGAGGGCCACCCTCCGCAGCCAGTGGCCGATCATCACGAGGGCCACGTTCCACAGCCAATTGATGAGAAGACCGCGGTGAAATCTTTGAAGGCGGCGGAGGCGGCTGTGCAGAGCAGCGTACCCGCGGAACCTGTAGCAGCTAGCCAACCAGCGGCTGAGCAACCCGCTGCGGTTAACGAACCTGCCGTAAGGAGCAGCGAATCTGCTAGCGACGAAGCCCAGCCGGCCGAGACGAAGCAGGACGAGCCATTGCAACCGCAGCAGCCAACAGCAGTGGTATCCGAGGAAGCTCAGGCGCAGCCCAAGTCCTCCGAGGAACAGCTCGAGGAGAAGGAAGAGCCGAAAGTGTTGGCCACCGAGAAGAAACAAGAGCCAGAGACCCTCAAAGAAGCGGCATCCGAGACGAAAGAGTCTGTGCAGATCGCGCCGCAGGAACAACCAGTTGAAATCCCAGTTGAAAAAAAAGTAGGTTTCTTGTGTGTGTGTGTGTGTGTGTGTGTGTGTGTGTGTGTGTGTGTGTGTGTGTTCCCCTAATTAAGTAATTTTCTTTGATCTTTTTCACTTTATTCTTCTTTTATACCATTCTTAAATTAAGCTTCATCCTCTAATCTTATATTAATATGCTTTTCAGGAGGAAAACGTAGCCGTCGAAGGTAAAAGCGCGGAGGCAGTCGAACCTGCGGCCGAGAAGCCTGTAGCCATCGAGAAGCGCGCTGATGGCGCTGCCGAAAAGAAGATCGCTGTTAACGAAGAGCCGAAAGAGGAGAAGAAGCTGGAGGAGCCAGTGCAGCCAGCTGCGAAAAAGGAAGAGGAAATTCCTGCGGTTGCCGCCACCGAGGAAAAGAAAGTTGAATCGAAAGCCGAACTACCAAAGGAATCTGAAGGTCACTCGCTCGCCCACGCCAAGATCGATGACAAGCCCGACCGTGTGACTCGCGATGCCGAGGAATCCGTTGCGCCCGCCGCCGTCGCTGCAGCAGCTCCCGCCGCAGCTGCAGCTCCTGTCGCTCAGGAACCTGTTCAGCTGCAGGAGAAATCCGCGCCTGTCGCCGAGGTCGAGCAAAACGCAGCGCAAGCAGCCGCGCCGGTAGAGGAACCGAAACCAGCTGAGAAGAGCGAGAAGACTGAAAAGAGCGAGCAGCTGGAGACAGCACCCGCCGAGCAGCCGGCTGTCAAAGTCGAGGAACCGGCTAAAAGCGAGGAGAAGGTAGCTGAGGTAGCTGCTGAGAAGGAGGCCGAGAAGGAACCGAAGAGCGCCGATTCTCCTGTCCAGCAAGTGGAAGCGGCCAAGGAACAACAGCCCGCACAGCCTCAAGAGTCCAGCCAGATCAAGCGAGATGCGGCGGAAGCGCCGGAGCAGCCTCAGGCCAAGTCGGACCTTCCGGCCGCTGAGGAGCAGCAGCAGCTGGCCCAACAACAGCAACCACAACAGCAACAGCAGGAAATCGCTAAAGAGGTGAAGGAACGCTCCAACGATTCCTCCGAAGAGAAGTCCTCCGAAGACAGCAAGGAGGACACCAAGAGCAGTGAGGAGGAAAAGTCTTCCGAGGAGCAGAATAACGCCAAACCGAAGCTGGGGGAATTGCTCCCGAAACCCGAGCAGTAAATCTTGGCACGGGGAGGGTTTGATTGATGAGTAACCTCAGCAGCGCGGCAGCAACAGCAGCAGCAGCATCATCTCGAGGAGAAGAAGAAGGAAGTAAACTGCTCCTCGGGACGAGCTCAGGCATCGACGTCTCTAGCCACCGGGACGTGGGCACGAGTTCGTCGCGAGAAAACTGGAGCAGAAGTGAGAAAGAAAGATGTATGTGTGTGTGTGTGTGTGTGTGTGTGTGTGGATGTGTGTGCATACGTGTGTATGTTGTGAAAGAGCGAGAATGCGAATGCCAGAGTAAGAAGCACTCTCAGCGATAAACCCAGAAAATGTGAAAATACTGCACAGTGTGAATGACGGAGAAAGAGAAAAATAAAGAGAGAGAGGGCGAGAGAAAGAGAGAGAAAGAGAGAGTGCGAAAGAGCGATCCCATCGACCCCATCGATCTTTCTATAGGGTAGGGTTATCCGATCTTCGACGGCGCACTACGATCTCGGTAGCGCATCTCCGGGAGCGCAGGACGATCGCGTGTTACCGGATGCTGCGACACATGAGCGAATGACACCGTGTATCGATCGTATCTTCGATACATGGTGATCTGACGCCCGTGATCCGGCGTACCGGTGGACATCGCGAGACGGCAGACGGAGAACACGCGGCGGTCCATCACGGAATGCCAGCTCGGCCTAGCTCCTCCCCCCCCCCCCCCCCCCCCCGATCAATATCTTTCATTCCCTTTATGGAACCCCCATCCCTTGTGTCCCATCCGAGAATGACACACCACTACAACATCCGATAAGCTCATCCCGATAAACTATAATAGTAAGTAGTTCGACTCTCTCTGTCTTCTTTTTAGAGATACATGTGTCATTATTATTATTGATTATTATTACGATTTAGTACCAATACCACTATTATTATTAATATTATTATTTGTATTATTGCTATCATCATCGTTATAATAATAATTATTATTATTACTATGAATCTCCCGACGGCCTCGTGTTACTACCAATCGCCCATTTATGGATCGTTCGTGCTCGTTCACGAGCAAGTTCAAGTTTCAGATTTTAATAATACAGAAGTGCAAAAGTATAAAATTTTATGATCATAATTACGGGACTCTACTGAGTTTTTACATAAACAGATATTTTTCAAGCGATATATTGAAACGAAAATAGACTTCCGAGATCGGTATTGTACACAATCATACGTAATTTTCTTCTATAATACGTAATATCTTTCGTAATATATCTTAATATTATTAATACACTGTTAAATTCAAGTCAAATTATTTAATTTAAATTATTTTTAATCATTTTTCTATAGATCGCCACTGCTCCTTCTCAATATGTCGTTAATTTAAACAATGAACTTAAACAATTTCGAACTTGAGAAAATGTATAAAATTTTATTCAAATTTGATTTGTTATTTACTAAGTGCATACGTTAATATAAATATTTACTTCGAAACTAATTAAGAAACTAATCGAGAAACTGATTTACATTTTAACACACATGAAAGTTAAAAATAACAAAATGTTATTTAACTAAAGGGATTAGATTACTATTACTCTTTTGATATATAACAGTATATCTCTCTGCATAACAGTATGACTTGAGTATACTGAAACATAACAGTACAACAGTATACCTAAAATTGCACGCAATTACTCATCTTTTCAAAGTTCTAGACTACAGTCATTATAAGTCGCTTCCGAATTACAGCGTAAAGTACAGTTTCACTCGACGAACGTTACGATCGCACGAAGCAGTTGTAGATATTTGCAAGATATCTAGAAAACGAATGATACGTCTGTGAATGATAACATCTGTGGAAAGATGACAGAATGGACGCAAGAGGAATGGATGCAAGTGGCACATCACTGCGTAAATCGCTCGCTGATAAACCATGCGATTTGCAGAGATCCGTGTGATAACATTAGATCATGATAAGCAGCGATTTGTCAATCACATCGCGCTTCAGCATCGCAAAAACGACGAGGATCAACGCCGCGGTTGTAATAAGTTAACGAGTGACTCACGAAGTAGCACTTAGCCGTTCTCGACAGCGTGTACAGAGTACGTACATACGTACACAGTGTACGTACATACGTGCCGTGTCAGATACGATAATCGAGGGCTTCCGCCAGCCGATAAACATCTTCGCACTTCTCTAACACGAAATAACAAGGCACAACGAGCGCGCACCGGCAGCGAATTGAGTAAATGATAATAACCCCTTAATTTACGACCCTTAACCCTTTACCGTGCCCACTTTACCCACAAATCGTTTACGTTACGCAATAAGATCAAATAAAACGTGTCTTTCATTGCATTCCATAAATGTTTCGTCGAAAATTTCATTCCATTAAGATAATGGGATTTTACTATTGAGTAACATACTCGATATTATTATTAAATACGTTTAAGAATAAAATTATTAATTATAGAAATTTATTGATCTTAGGCAAATTTTGATTGATAATATAACAACTTTCCTTCAGATAAATAAAGAAATAATTATATATACAGTGTAAATGAAAACGCAATTAAAAAGAAAAAAATATATATATATACATAGCTTCAGACATAAATTTATCATTCATCTTCAACAATTTAAATATCTGACTTTGAGTTCAAGAACTGTCCAGAATCTCGTTATTAATTACATTTACGCATAAAATTATTAATTACGGAAAGTTTAATCAATCTTTTTAGACAAATCTTGATCTGTCCGTAAAAACGAGCTTCCTTTCAAATAAAAAAAGGAATATATAATTATATATACATATCGCAAACGAAATGTCTTTAGAAAGGAAGAGAGAGAAGATATGTATGATATTTTTTATAATATACTCAAAGACGGATTATATATAATTATCATTTATCCTAGACAATTTAAATGTCTGGCTTCGAGTTCAAGAACCGTTTAGAGTCTTATTATTACTATAAGGGAAGACATATATGTTGTATTTTATATCTTCAGAGATAGATTATAATTATCATTCACATCGTAGACAACTTAAGTATCCAAGCTAAAAGATTGTCCAGAGTTTCATTATTGATTACATTTATGCATAGAATTATCAATTACGGAGAGCTTATTAATTTTTAAGGCAAATATCTATCGATAGTATGGAACCGTCTAGCCTTCTTTCAAATAAATAAATAAATAAAGATAATTATATACATAATGCACACACAGCATAAATGAAAATGTCATTAGAAGGGAAGATATGTATGTAGTATGTACCGTATTTTATAATATCTGCATAGATAGGTTATAATTCATCACAAATAATTAAAGTATCTAGCACTTAGCAGAAGAATCATTCAGACTGTCATAATGTGTAGAAAACGCAATAAATCCCACTAATTGTAAGTATCATTCTGCCAAGGGTGCAATAAACTGCCACTAAGAGAGGCGATCCGCGGATTTACGGCGTCACAGCCGATACCTTTCTATTCTCGCAAATGCAATTCCATAACGAATTGACTACCCATGGAGAATGCACTTGCATAAGAGCACCAGTCGTGTAACTGCTCGCGAATGTCGCATCGCCGCGGTGCAAGCCGACATTTTCCTTTGGTGCATCGATTCATCAAAGGGCGAGCGAGCATCTCGATCGCACGGCGATACACTGAGTAGGTAGGCATAAACAAGGTTGCAGTGCATAAGGTGAGTGCACCCAGCGAAATGTCAAGGCGTGAAAGAAAGAAAAAGAGAGACAAAAAGAATTTTGCAACTCGTTGCGCGGAGATTGTTCCATTATCATTGTTCTCTACATTTCATCATATCGCTCTGCATTCTCGCCGTTCAATGCCCTCGAAATTGAAGGGCTCCCTGGAAAAAATTCTGCAACCATCATTTTTATGAAATGATATTTTAATAAAAAAACGTTGTTTAATCGTGCAAACATGGACTACATGTTTTTTATATTTTTTATAAGATTTTTTAAAAATTGCAACATTTTATCAGAGAGCCATTCAATTAATCTTTACAAAACCGAACAGGAGAGCTACTATATAGCGCTGTTCTATTTTTCATATTATATTGTATTTGTCCATTTTTATGTTTAATAATTTTAGAATTATCATAGAGCAGTTGGAAAATCATTATAGTAGCTTTGAAACAGTGTTATGTTTTGAGATATAAAGAATATAATTAAATATAATAAATCTTACCTAAGGAAAAGCCATAAAATTTAAAAAACACCCGCATTTTAAAGGTTAACTTGAAATAAGTACACCTGGTACAGTTTAGCTATTTTTGAAGCATTCGCCTTCTTTCCTCTGCTATTAAATCCGAATTTTTATTTTTCAATGCTAGATTATTGTAGAGTAACAAATCATTGCCCTTCTTTTGTAAAAAAAATTTATTAAAGCGAAATGTCTGTGTAAATGCAAAATTACCTTTTGCAATTTGTATTTCGCATTTTTTTTCTTAAAACTTAAAATTTAATTCATTTAATTTTCTAATTAATGTTTGGAAAAATAATTTTGCGAGAAATAGATGATAGGCGGTAAGTGCACTCTTAAAAGAGATGTAGTCGAATGCCTCCGTGGCGCAATCGGCTAGCGCGTTCGGCTGTTAACCGAAAGGTTGGTGGTTCGAGCCCACCCGGGGGCGATATTTTTTTTACAATTATATACGGATTTGTTTTTAATATCATATTAAATATCAGTTCGTGACTCCTAACTGTAGATATACAAAAGCACAAATTTTACGTTATATTACAATATAGATTGAGGTAAAATGCATAGTCAACTATTTACAAAACGAATGATATAAAAAGACCATTAACGATAAACTAATTAATTTTTGTTATATTTCTTAACTCTGTTTAGCTAAAGAAAATAATTAAAAAACGAAAAAAAAAATTATCTTGACCCCGACGTGATTTGAACACGCAACCTTCTGATCTGGAGTCAGACGCGCTACCGTTGCGCCACGGAGTCTTGTGATGTTGTCCTCTTCTAATGCAATGATATGTAACGGTGCACTTAAAACGATAGACTCGCAATATAATGTTGAATGATAATTGTCGAGGGAGTAACCACTTAATGTAATCGTGGGACAGAATCCTCGAAATCATTATAAAATTTATATAAAATCTCTATGTATAATCCGATAATTACATATGCAACCACGAGAAATCATTGTATAATATTAAATAAAATCGTATATTTTACTAAATTGCTTCATAGTAGTGAAAAAAATTATTTATAATCAAATGAAATCATGTAATCTGTGGGACAATATTTCAGCTAGTGGTTACCCCCTCGATAATTGTAGTAAAGCGGTATAA